TTGCAGTTTACCATTGTGTTCTTGGACTCACTGCTGCTAACACAACTTTTTTTTTCCCCTTTTACCCTTATTAAACACTGCTTGTTTCAGACTTAACGCCACATAGAACTAACAGCAAAATCACAAAATGTTTAAAAGTAGTATGTGTTTAGAATTTCCGATGCATTTTTAAACGTTAACATTCATTAAAGTCATTTCTCGGTTTATCATATCAATGTTAATTTTTATTGCTAAGCTAACGTATACAACTTTTTGTCTTCTCAACTTTATGCATTAAACATCACTTTCTTAGCATTTGCACCACATTATACTGAACACCACAATCACAAAGTAATTAAAAGCTGTTTATCTTTAGGATTCTCCACTGAGTGTTAAGTGTTCCCATACATTTTTTATATTCCGCTGTATTATTTGTTTTTAAATAATACATGGCCATACATTCCCAAAAGTATACTCCTACAAAAGCAAAACCTTCCTCCTCTAACTGGTTCCTCTCTTTCGTCTATGAGGTGTACAGAGCTGCTAGTGCAGTTTTTCCCTCAGTGTCGTAAAATATTGCGGGTATGTACGCGTAACAGATCTCTGAATGCAACTGTGTCGTTACTCAGTGTTTTACGATTTTATTGATAGTATAGCCGACCAGGTATTTAAGTCTGATAATTTAACAATTTGGATACTATGGCCTACCAGATAATTAAAACCTTGTTTGTAAATGATTAATTGTTATATCCCTTATTGACCAAGACAAGTAGTTTATTGTTCTAGTATTAGTTATATCGTCATAAATTATGTTAAAATTTCCAAACGTACGCCGCAAGGATTGACTGAATAAATTTTTATTTTCATTTTAATTTGTACTTTATGATGATAGTGAAATAATTGCTAAAACCCATGACTGGCAAACAGGTTAAAATAACTCTGCGATTAGCTTTAAAGTTAAATTTAATTACTCACCACAGAAGTTATAATGTTCATGAATTTTCTTCTAATCCGGGAGCCTAAACCGTAAACATAAACGAAATATGCCACAGCATGCTAGTATTACTTATAAATTTGCATAGCATCAGTAGAATCTATGTGCTAATTAATGTAAAGGCTGGCAATAGGGCAGTAACTTTTAAGGTTTGCAGGCTGCTTAGGAGGAAATGAGAGGTCCGAAAACTGATTACGTGGAGAAGAATTCATTTCTCATATCCTTTGATTGCAATATTTCGATTTTATTGGTTCCTATAACCCCCTCCTCTCCATTTGGAAACTCTTTTAGTTAAAGACAGAAAAAAGGCTTCAGCAAGGTACACATTCCAGGAGTGTAACACCGTAATTGAGTAGATAGGTAAACTCTTCACAAAAGGGAGACAGTTCTATATCTCCCATTCTACCGGACCGATTGATGAAATTTAATTTGCGTTTTTCATGTCTCGAGAGCGTGACTTAGGATGTATATTAGATTTGTATGTAGTATTGTTCTAACGTAGGCACTGTAACACAAAATCGGATTTTTTTTAATGACATAGCGAGTTTTTTTCAATATTTCGATTCTACGACTGAAATTGTGCCGAAATATTAAATTTTGTAAAATTCGATGAGAAACTAACCGAGAAATTTAAAAATTTATCTTGGCGCACTTTTTTGAGTTTGTACCAAGAAAATTCGCTTGGCGATATTCTTAATTTACCGTAACCTATTTTCTTTTCCCTTTCGTTGTGCATGAGCGAAAAAAAACGTTCATCATTCAATTTTCAAATAATTTTAACAGAATGTAAACCACATTTGACGTTATTATCGCTTATGACAAATATGCCAAATTTCAAACAGATCTGCACTTATATATAAATTCACGTATATCATGGGAAATTTTGAATAAAAAGCAAATATTTTGTAGGTATGCCTAGAAATACACCTACTCTAAGGTGATAGTAAACATTTTATAGATTATAATTCAAAATGTTTTTCGAAAAATTTATATTAAAAAAAAATTTTAAATAAATCAGAAAATATCTGCGAATTTTATTTGGATTGAACTTAAATTTCGAACCGTGAAAGAAGGAATCAAGAAAGCTTAATAAAAAAGAGATTTGAAGAGCTATTGTTAAACGTTTCTCGTGTGATTTTTACAAAATTCTTACCCTTAGGCTCTACATGGAAACAGAGTTGCCCCGTGAAGGTCTTTTTAAGAGAAACTAGCTCGTATCTATGTTACACATGGGGAAAACCACAGAAACGCCCATGCAACCACCCCGTTCGCCGAGACTCGAACCCCGGAACGAACTACCAGTGTTCTAAGATACCTAGGTTAGAACAATAGTATATATAAATGTAATATATCTCTAAAGAAAAATGAATTCGAGGTGCAAAGATTTTCTTTGGTATAAGCAAAATACATTGTTTTTCCAGACACATCGCAAAGAATAACACTTCTTTATAAAGAAGGACTGGTTTCTATATAAAGAAGAATTCTTTATAAATATGCATGGGTTGAAGCTGTTGCACATGGCGCTTCGACGAAGCACCGCGTGCAGCAGATTTTACAAACTTGCTTTAACGACGATGTGATGAATAAGCATCGGTGAAGTAAAATATTAATTTATTTTTTAAGAATTATAATTCTACATTAATTCAGATAACATTCCTCGTCTAGTTCTCCTAAAAACTAACAAATACTGGACATGGCGATGACGGAAATTAGTTAAGCAGTGTCATTGTCATCGGTAGCGTCAGTGAAATGATTATTCTTAATCGTCGCCGGAATAAACGAACGGTCCTCCTTGTGTTTTAAGTGACTGACAGCTAGCTATCATATAACCAAAATTTTGTGTTTAATTTAATTCGTTATTTCCTTTACCATCCTTGATCTTCTCTAATGAATACTTTCACGTGTGAATGAGTGATGTTTCTTCAATACTGTATAATGTATTTCTCCCGCTTCCTAGCATGCTTTCGTAATGTAGTGGTCTGCACGCTGGGCGTGTAAAACTAATGTCTCTACACTGGCGCCCGAACTAAAAGGGTGGTGAATGAAGATTCTCCACACCCAGGATTTGGCGATTCGGTCCCCTAAAAACCCTAGTCGCCCTTTAAAAGGGGGAGTATAAGGTATTTCTCTCGCCTTCCTAGTATACCTTCGTAGTGTAGTGGATTGCACGCTGGCCACGTATTCCAGAGGTGCGTGGTTCGATTCTCGGCGAGGGCGTTGCTCATTTTTCATCTCTTTTTCTTGCAATTAACCTAATGTCTCTACAAGTGTTACAAAATTCTGAGTAAGTACGCAAAATTTTCTAACTTTTCTTATACAGCGCAACTTTAACGGTTAATATTCTTGGTACTAAAATTTTTCATAAAATTTTCTAAATTACCATTAAATAAATTATGTTATTGTTTTACCAGTTAGAGAAAATTAAAAATCTATTTTTCTAACTTTCTTCTATTTTTCTAATGTGTAGTGAAAAATGATAACCTATTGTTTTAGTTAATTTTTATTTGATTCTTCACCATATGTTTCCAAAAGAAAAAATACGCTGCGAAATAAAAGTACTTTTTTAAAGTTTGATTTATAAAAATGCCAGCAGTTATGACTATAGGACTGTCATTGTACCTTAGATAAAAAGATTTGTGGGACTATTTCTTGCCCGTTAAGGAAAATTCGCAGACTTCCGCTGCTTGGGATTTATACTAATAAGTTTGCAAAAAATTTTTCCATCCCAGACTTGCATTAATATTTCAGGATTTTAATTATGCATACAATAAACGAAGCAATAACACAAATAATTGGTAGGTAACTAAAAAAATTATATTACACATTTCTGTTTATTATTTTGCACATTTCTGTTTATTATTAGTCCAAAGGGATTTGAATCCCGAAGGACTATTAGTTTCGTTTTGGCATTTTGCGTCGGACTCATAAATGTCGGTTCACTTTTCAAACTGTTGCCACAAAATGTTAGAGTCCTGCATTATATTTGAAGAAATTAAATAATGAAAAATCTGCATAAATGTATGTATATTTCTCGTATTGTGATAAAACAACGGTACATAGAGTCATCGAATTTTGAATAACGTAATCCTCCTCCAACGAATATGAGCATGTGGAAGACCAAATTTGAAATTTGAAATTTTGTTTTATGATCGATTTCCTATTTTTTAAAACTTTGACGAATTTTTGATTAACAAACTCAAGGATTTCAAAGCGAGCAATGGCAACGTTGTGCAGAAAAAAAACATTTTTATCATCTCCAGCGCGTGAGTCTCTGTATCGGAAATTCTAAAGATATGCTCGTTTTAAAACTATTTTGCGATATTGCTGTTGCACTGGATCTTATGGTTTAAGTGCGAGGAACATGATATTTAATAAAGAAAGGTAACACACAAAATGTTAAAAAACGCCCCTTTGGACGTAATTTAAAATCTGAAACATTTCAGATTTTTTTTTTTTTTTTTTTTTATTTTTATTTGCATTTATATATCGATCAGATTTGGGAAACGTATTCGACATTACTGTTTTAGATTAAGATATTAAGATTACCATTTAATTGGACGTTGTTCTCATATAGTACATGCAGGTTACTCAGACACACATACATACACAGATATCCGTTATAAATGAACATATTTAAAAAAAATCTGGTGTGGACGCCACTTCCTTATACGGTCTTATACGACAAATTATACACAGTTTTTGCTGCAATTTTATGTAATATGCATATTTTGTTATAAAAACTTGGCATGTGACAGAGTCGTGTATGTTTTAAAGATTAAGTCCCAGTTGGATCACTTTGACTATCCTTATTGAATATTTATAACTTTTCCGTTTTGAAAACACTGAAATCACTGAAAGCATTGATATTTATTATTAAAGCTAATTCTTGGCATTTTATTCTTCGTCCTTTAATAAAGATTTTGCTGAAATAAAATTTGCTGTAGAAAATGTAGTTCTTTTAATTCAGTATAATGCGTTATAATATGCAAATCAATATATTTTTGGAAAAATTAATTGTTGTACATACCTGATTTAATTTTTTTGTAAAGTTTGCAGCCAAAACAACTGTCATTTTCGCCTACTTCTTCATGTAAACACGCCAAAGTGACGTATATCTGCAGTTATTTAATTGGATCTGAAAGAGAGAAGTGTAAAAATTTTATGTTTGATGCATATTGTTACGAACTTTGTACATAGATAGATGATGTTAGTGCAGTTATATGTGAAATTAATGTATTTTGCTGTGTAATGTAACACGGGAAATCGCGAGAGAGAAAGTATGTCGGAAAAGTAAGAATATAGCGACAAATCTGTTTTACATTAAGTAAATGAGTATCTCGGTAATTTGGCGAAATACCGCCAAGCTGGCAAAGCTTTTGGCGAATAATTTTTATCGCCAAATTTAACGACAAGTCGCCAACGTGGCGACCATATAGCGAGATTTGGGTCTGGTCCCTCTATCACCGTAATAGGTATTGTAATTGAATAACTGTAATTGATCACTACATTAGCTTTAACTGTGATTCAGTGAACTAGTGCCTTCTAGTAATTTCGAGAAGCCGAAAGTACTGCAAATATCTTGGCGGCCGGCTGAAAATTATGTTAGGCCGGAGAGAGAATCTGCTCTCAGTTATTGTTGTTAGATGTTAGCTAAGCCTGAGTTCCGAGTACTATCTTTGGTTTAGCTTTGCCCTTTAGCTGCGCTTTGCACTGCGTTGTGTTTAACGTTCATAGTAGTTTGAAGTGTAACTCCTGACTGTACTCTGTGATATTGTGAAGAGCTGTATGGCTCTTTTTGTGGAAAGCTTCAGATCTGTGAAATGTTTCATTTGATAAAATAAATTTAACCAAACTATCATCGTAGCTGTACGCATTCAGTATATTACGAATCCGTACGTACGCAACAATATAAATTGGTATTCTGTTATCTCATTTTTAACACAATTTCAAGATTTGGAAATTTGCCTAATAGTGAATTTTAGCTGAATTAAGTAAATCTGTTTTAAGTACGAATAAATTAATATGTAAAACGGAACCAGATGTTTTATTACAGCATTACTGCCAACAAATAGTGATTATTCAAACAGTGATTTTGTATGTCTTACCGTCCAAACGAACCGCTTCTGGTGAGGACATCCCTCTGTTTCTGCACAGTAAGTATGTAACTTCCATTTGTATTTACTTCAGATTTCAGAGATCGGAACTTGATACTTATCTATGAAATATATGGGAAATAAATATAAAACATGACTTTTACAAATACGAATAAACATAAAATAGGAGTTAATACAAAAAATATAAAATATTAGCTAATACATACAAAAATTATGGACTAATTTTCTAAGCTAGTTGCTCAAAGAACGTAAAAAACGAAATACTTTTTTGAAAAAATCCACGATTCTTTTATACACATGAAAAAATATATATAATATAAAAAAATAAATATATATATATTATAATAATAATAATAATAGTTTAAAGGCCTAAAATCCATATACAACCTTATTTCACATCCTCGGTCATTATCATATACTAAACGTTTTAAATGATGTAAATAATCATGATTTGCACTAATTTTTTTAAAAAATGGATTTTATAAAAATTATAAAATTTAAAACTTTTTTGTAGTCTCTCGATCCCTACACTTATGTTTACTTAAAGTTTATATTTACTATAAAAAACAAAACGCGTAAAGTTTCACGACAACCTACATAGCAAAAGCAATGTCCGTCTCTTAACCTGTAAACATCAGGAAATCTTTTTCTAAACTGAAATTTCATTTTTAATGAAGTACAACAGCAAATGTTTAGGTGTTTAGTTCGTGTGCGACCACTAAATATGAACTCAACTTCTAAAATTAAATATCTTGATAAATTGGTTCCAGCCGAAAACATCGCGGAGAAAACAACGCAAGGCGAAAACGTCGTGATACAAAACATCGTGGGAGAAAACATCGCAAAGAGAAAACATCGCAGTTCTAAAACATCGTGATACAAAATATCATCGTCCAAAATAAAGCGGTTCAAAAATTTCGCAGTTTAAAAACATCGTCGTCGAAAATATCGTGGTAAAAAATAAAGTATCTACAAATCATCGCATGACGATAACATCGCAGACATGTTTTTTTCAGGCTTTAATAATGTAAATGGATATTTCCATAATGATTTGTGAGCGCAAGATGGAAAGAAGGACATTCTTTACTTTCATATTTTTATTAACTAATAAATTTTTGCTGAAAAAGTAAGAAGGAAATTTAAGCATAGAAAATTAAGGCAATTTATAGCACTTAATATAATTTTAAACTGACATAGTTAACTAACAAAGGTCATTAATAAATCATTTTTTATAAAGTTTGTACTGGTAATTTTTCATTAAAAGTATAATCTAAAAATGTTTAGAAAAAAGGAAGCTACGTAACTGCATGAACTTATCTATAAAAAATTGCTAATTATGAGATTATTTTCTTCACTTTTGTCAATCTAATACTCTTAATGAAAATTATTTCTTCTTCTGCTTCAGTTTATTCTTAAGTATTAAGTTTCCTTCTTACTTTTTTAGCAAGAATTGATTAGTTAATAAAAAATACGAAAGTAAAAATTATCTTTCTTTCCATCTCGCGCTCACAAATCATTATGGGAATATCCATTTACAATTATTAAAGCCTGAAAAAAGCAGGTTTGCGATGTTATCGTCCTGCGATGATTTGTTGATACATTATTTTTTGTCGCGATATTTTCGACGACGATGTTTTTAAACTGCGAAGTTTTTGAACCGCTTTATTTTCGACGACGATATTTTGTACCACGACGTTTTAGAACTGCGATGCTTTCTCCCACGATGTTTTGTAGCACGACGTTTTCATCTTGCGTTGTTTTCTCTGCGACGTTTTCTCCCGCGATGATTTTGCCGCGATGTTATCGGCGGACACCCGTGAAACGTATTAATCACTATTTACATCCGGGAATTTGTTTTCCTGGTATTACCGCAACCATTTTAGTAGAAGTCGCCAAACTCTGGCAACCATGCCCACAACAATGTTTGAGGTAAACATATCCATTGTAAGCTGCAATCCGAAAATTCACCGAATCACCTTTTTTCTTCTCTAAAAAATCGTCAAACTACCCGAGGTGATTCCGCTAATACGTAAGTACCGTTTTCCTTATTCACAGCAGTTTATAGAATTTGAGTTCTAGAATACGATATGGGTACAATAATATAATACACAACATCACATGTGACAATACATTACGCATACTTGCATATACCGTATCAAGCGAGAGGGGAAACACGCCAAAGTAAGGCATAAAATTAGGCAAAACAACAACTTGTCTTTGGCGTAGATTTTTAATTAAGACTTTATCAATGTATAGGTTGCTTTTCATCAGGAGCAAAGAAATCTGTAGGTTTCTTTACTCCTGGTGAAGAGAGAGCTGTACTTATTTGCCCTCGAAATCGATAGCGTCTTAATTAAAATGTACGCCAAAGTTAAAATTTTTGCTTTGCCTATTTTATTGTATATCGTACATTTATTGCGTATAGCACTGGTCTCAGACTCAAATTACACGCGCGCCGAAGGCACGATTTGAAAACGGATCGGAATGAATTTTAACAAAATAAAGTGTTTTAACTAAATTAAAAATTTTATTTACTAAATATTTATTAAAACATGAACAAACAATAATAATACTGATGCAAAAAATTCTAATTCATACTTATTTTCTTCATGAAATCTAAATGTCTTCAGAAATTTTAGAAAGTTTCTGGTATTTACGCCTTATAATTCAAATGTACTGGCAGCTAAATATTAAATTATCAGACTGACATTTATTTAAAGTTATAATGTATAAGTTAACCACTAAATAACATATTTTAAATTTAAAATAATTGAATTACAAAAGCTTCCCAAATGGGCTAAAACTTTAGATAAATAATGGCAACGTTATTAATTCTCTTTCTCTCGACACATACAGAAAAAAAATATATATACAAATTTGTATGTAAATAGTTATAAACTTCTTTTTTCTTACTACAATTCTTCCTGCTGCAACATCTCATGGCGTTTCGATTTTGATAAAGATTGTAAGCCTTGGAGAAGAATTATTATAAACTGTCTCCATCCCAAATTGGATGCTCAACGCTCAATAGTTCTTTTCTTAGACTAGAAATTTTCAGTTGTGGAAAAAACTGTTCATATATAAATGCTCTCCCAAACAAGACGATAATTCTTATTTCAAAATTTCGTCTTAATGTCCTTTTGATATGTCCGACTAAAAATCAATTAAATCTGTATCTTTAAATCTTTTAATATTTATATCACAGTGTAAATTTCATTTGCAAATTCTCTGGGGCGTTACTCACGTTCGTTTTTGGAAGTAAAAATAATGTAAATTTGGACTCCAAATCATTAAAAGCTTAAACTTTTCCTACAAATTTTTCTCATAGTAATTAAAGTCATAATAATTTAATAATAATGTCATAATAATAACAAGTTATTATGACTTTAGGCAATATTGCAAAGATATTGTGTCTTCTCTTTGTATAGTAAGCTATTTTGTTATTTCAGTCGGCGCTGGTTAGGTGTCAACTTCGTCCTGAGATACTGGTTGTTATTCCTCCATTAGCTACTTTTTGCGGTGAATATAAATTTTTTCAACCATCTCAAAATATCACACACACACACAAAAAAAAGGGGGGACTCTCCACCGACTATACACTAGGGAAGCGAGTTCTTAGGGCACAGTCCACATTATATCGAATAAAAATTATCAATATTCTTTTCGTTGCTATCCTCCCTATTTTTTATATATTCTTATCGTAGAACGCTAGACATATTTCTATTAAAAACACCCAGGAACGTATTTCAAATGTTGCCCAGGGCGAGGGTTTGGCGCGTAGCTGCAGCTATTTGCCTCTGTGAATCGATACACCGATCCAAGTCAGATTAATACATGGAAGAGGACGGAAGCCAAGTCTAATTCAAGCTGTATGTATGCGCCAATCCGGGCTCTTTGCATCTATGCAACGATCCAGGCTAGACTAATACCTTAAAAAGGATGGAGGGCTGACCTAATTCAAGCTGTATCTGTCCATCAATCCAAGCTAGACTAGTGCCTTGAAAGGGATGAAGGGCAGATCTAATTCATGCTGCACCTAAGCAACCATCCAGGCTAGACTAGTACCTTGAAGAGGATGAAGGGCAGATCTAATTCATGCTGCATCTAAGCACCCATCGAGTCTAGACTAGTATATTGAAAAGAATGAAAGGCAGATCTAATTCAAGCTAATCATCGATCCTAGTTTTCTGCATCTGTACATTGATATGGCTAAGGCATTACTTGAAAAGAGGTGGAGGTCAGATCTAATTCAAGTAATGTTCTAAAATTTGGTTGGCCTTGTCCATATTCTTCCTGATCAGCTTATTGTATTTTTGCTGAAGTTTCACTGGTCAAAATTAAAAAAAGACAGTTGAGTCTGCAGTTGAAGCAGAAATCAACTGCAGAGTATATATACGTGTAGCAACAATTAGAAATAAAGAACAAAAATTTAAATGCTCAAAAAGTTAAAAAACAAAATGTTCACAAGCTTTTGCAGGAGCATTGTTCAGCAGCATTTTCAGGAGTTCAACAAATGTTCAGCAGCTTTTGCAGGAGCTCAACGCATATGAGTATGCGTTCAGCCCTTCAGGAATACTACCACTTAGTGCAGTTGAATTGAAGTATATTGTGACCTTTCATTAAACATGAGTTCGCCAAAGTGACTGCAATAAGAAAACGTCTAATTATTATGGAATAAGAAAACGTCTAATTATTACTGAAAATGGGGACGAGGGATGTATGAATCTGTGACTATGTTCAAAAAAGGTTTCCGTGAGGGGTTTATGTCTGTTGCAAGTTTGTCCTATAGTAGGTAACTAAAAATAAGAAAAGCAGAAGAATTAATAAATTCATCATGCTATCAGGGAAACGCTTTGTGTCCTATAATTACTGGAGAAATAGCATTTTTCTCCCATTAGTGACTCTCAAAGAGTAAAACTGTCCCAAGGAAAAAACAACCTGTCATATTTTGAAACTACCATTCCCTTCCTTAAAATAATGAAAACCGGGACTGGTATTGCATGTTATATATTTTCATCCTATTCTTGAAAAATCTCATGCTGTTTTACTTATGTGCTTCAGATTTGATGAAAAGAGATCTTTTTAAACGCAAAACCGACCA